GATCGCCCAACTGATTTATCCTATGGATTATGATCTGGAAAAAGAAAAACATAAGAACATACTCAATGTCATACTGACCCATTTCAATCATGAACATCTGGCTCTGCAAATCAAGCAAATGCATCTGTCTTATTGTTTTAGGTAAAAAAATCCAATGTTATGCAATGTATTTCAAAATAAACACCTCTTCTTCACCATCTGTGCTTCGTTGCCGCTTTCTCCAATCTCTTTGTTCCTGGCATGACCTTCCTGGTGGTTTAAAATTGGCGCAAATACTTGGACGTAAATAATGCTGTTGTTTATAACCCCCTTGTTACCTAAACGGTTTTATCATTTCTGAGAGATCTAATCAGTACATTATGTAAATTTGAGGAAAAAAGAATTCTGTATTGTTAAAGAATACAATAACAAAAATTCATTTATGTTTACACAAGATGTTTTCTCTATATGAATTGTACTTTTATTTTAAAGATTAGGGTGGATAATAGAACTGCTCTAGAGAAACCGGATATAAACTGATAAGCCGTTCTTAGAAAGGTTTACAACATTACAGATAAGTCGTTCCTAAACATGCTCAACACATCTGTAAGTAATTAGCCTAATCCCAACTGGTTAGACTAGGGAAGAGAAAGTAGATGGTAATGTAATATTATCTGAATATACCATCTATATTTTGTTTTATTATAGAGACATTGATCATGCAATTACTGATTGAAAAATTATTTTTAGCATCAGCTATAGTGCTTTGTTAAAACTAAGGACTTAAATATTCATTTAATTAAATGCTATTTTTTATTAAGCCACTAAAACATTCATGAAAGGATATACTAAGTTTGTTAGAAATAAAATCATTTGAGTTATTTAGAGAAATAATATTAAACATTTTTTTTTATTTGGGAATCAATGGCACAGTAATCTAAGATTAAATTAGTATAATTTACTCAAATTAATTGCTTTAATAAATACGATGAATACAACAAAGGCAATATTGTAATGTAATCAATGTTTACATGTGGAGTAAATACTTTTTGGGGGGTTAATTTTAATACATGTATCACAAAAGCAACTCAATAGTTACATAAAGGAGAATGATTGTTGTCTAAGTAAAATTTTTATCTAGCTCTCTTAATAATAAGGACTAAGTCAGAAAATCCACCAGGATTTCCAAAAATACGCCTTTTGAAATTTTCTAAGTTTTTATTTCCCTGTGCGAAAGAGACTAAGAAAAAAATACGCCTGGATTAAGAATTTACGCCAGGAGAAAAGGAGACGTATTTCTGGCAAAAATACGTGTACGCCTGAAAATGAACCGTATTTTTAAGAATACGTCTCTTGTACGCCAGGATTTGCAAAAAGTCCAGGCGTAATACGCCTCTGAATTTCATACGGGAGTACACATATTAATTTTTTCCTCTGTGAGGCAAAACTTCATATAAAACAAGTTTATTAAATAAGTAATCAAATAAAACAAAGTATTTATTTCAATTTTCTATGGAGGAAATTTGCAATCTACTGAACAGATGCTTTCAGATTTTTTTTTTTTTTTTTTTGTAATATACTGGATTTGGGTTTCAATAACTAACAAAGAGAACATTATGTTTTAATAATTGATATCATGGTATATTTTTGAATACATTATTAACAAGAGATGTTTGTGAAACACTTATCCCCCTCCCCCCCCCCCCACCCCCGGCAACCTCTGCAAAGAAAATGAATGGAAACTGCAAATAATTGGAATTTTTCTATTTCTAAGTGAAAGGGGCATAACCAGGGTTCGAAATTCACTATATACAACTCGCAAAATGCGAGTTAGAATTCCCAAATTGCGAGTTAAAAATTAGGTAACTCGCAAAAACTTGCGAGTTGATTTTATTCTGCATTGAAACTGTAGCAAGATTATATAATATGACAGAACACAATGCTTTTGATTTAAATCGGTAATTTAACTAAAAGTCACACCGTAGTTGTATTTTGTGTATTGTATAGTAGTTACTTTTTCCTTAAGTTACATGTATATAATTTATATAAATTTAACTTTATATGAAAATTGCGAGTAGTCTTATAAAATTGCGAGTTCACTTTCTTGGTAATCGCAATTATTTGCGAGTTGTAATTTTAGGGAGTTTCTAACCCTGATAACTCTGTCAACAATTGCTAGATCATTCCGAAAACAAAACCTGACCTAGATATTCTTATGATAAATTTGTATACCAAATTTCATTTCAGAATGTGCAACCTTTGCGAAGAAAATGAATGGAAACTGTTGGTGGACCGACAGACAGACCGACCGACTGATAGACAGCAGCAGAGCAATATGCCCTCTCTTCTTCGAAGGGGAGCATAATTAATGAATGATTTTAAGTAAAAAGACATGTTTATTTAAGAACGGTACCTCATCTGTTTTGTTCTCACTGTGTGTACCAACCAGGATCACAGGAGCCTTATCACTGCTGTATTGATGAATGGACTTCATCCAAAATTCAAGATAATCTGAATAAAAAGAAATAGATGTAAGAGTAAAGAAGTACGATTTTCTTTTACAGTAGATAGATTGCAGTAAATCGTACTTTTGGGTAAGGTGTTGATTCCTTCATTTCAAAATCTACTTTTGCAATTTCTTTCATTAATAATGCTTCTTTTTTACCAAACAGATATTTACCGGTATGTGAATAATTAGAATTTATGACTTTTTATCACATTTACTCCTTCATGCAGTTGATGTAAAAGAACCCACAGAGTTGGACAAATCTGTTTCTTATTTGGATATTTATGTAGCAATATACAATTTCACCTGCATATGGAGTTTATCTCTCCAAGTTGATTCATGTTCATATCATGTGTACGTATACGAACAATTTTTAAAATGAGGCATACTATTGACAAAGAAGTTGATGACACAAGGATATCAATAATCTCATTTCAAGTTAAAATTTTGCAGATTCTAAGGTCGATACAATGACGATACGATACGTCAGCAAATACAATCAATTGTTAAGTTCAATGTTGACTAATAATATTCAAAGAATGATTTGGCCATTATTTTCACTCTGAATTGTCTACAGATATTTTCCTTTACCTGATCATGACAAGGATCACACGGCAGGTGACAGGGAATGCCTACTCCATGGCACCTGATCCCACCCCTGATGTTTTAGTGGTTTGCGTTTCCTCTGTTCCCAATTTATATCATTTTAATGGATTTTTAAGCTTGGTTACTGTTCGTTATCTCCATATTTCTCTGATTTTAAAATTATTAATCAATTATGATTTAATTCATTTTTGCACTAAAATAAGTCTAATTGACAAATTGACATTAATATATTGTTAATTGGGTGTAAATTTAAGGCAGGAATCAAGAGTTAGCGGGCATAGTTCTTAGCATACACCTTTCTCTCTTTTCAGCGTATACTTTGCTTAAATGATTGGGTTATGTCATACAACACAATTGTGCAATATTATCTATATAAATATTGAAAGGACTAAAAACAAAAAGAACTCTGTATACCTTATGCGTCAAGGTAGAAGATCAGGATGGATATTCATATAAAGCACTAAATTTGACAAACGACACAAATAATAAAATCAATCTATCTATCTATCTATCTAGATTAGATTAGATTAGAACTATTTATCTATCTATCTGTCTATCTAGATTAGGTTAGATTAGATTAGATTAGAGAGAAAGAGGGAGATTAAATGTTGATTGCCTTTTGTTGCCCCATCCAATTCAAAGGGGCTGTGGTGTGAAAAAAAAATGAATTTACACTACCAAAAGATGTTTCAACATAAATATGATTCATCACGGTTTTGCTGTTCTTGAGAAGAGTTGTTTTATAGATTTTTCCTACATATTTAAGTGTAAAACCTTGATTCCCTACTGTGGCCTCACCCTACTCCGAGGACCATGGTTTTGACAATTTAGGATCTACACTACCTCAAGAAGCTTCCACATAAGTTTTAGCTTTTCTGATACTGTGGTTCTTCAGTAGAAATTTCTAAAGATTTTTCCTTTATATTTCAATGTGAAAGTTTGATTTTCTATTGTGGCCTTTCCCTACGGGTGCATGATTTTTACAATTTTGAATCTACACTACCCAGGAAAGCTTCCATATAAGTTTCAGCTTTTCTGGCCATCTTCTTGAGAAGAAGATTTTTTAATTACCACACTCAATTTTTGCCTTTTCTTAATTGTCTCTCCTTGGAAAGGTGCTTGTCCCTTCGATTGGACAATTTAGTATCCCCTTTACCCAAGGAATACTTTGTGCCATATTTGGTTCAAATGTCCTTAGTGGTTCTTCAGAAGAAATTGAAAGTGTGAAAAGTTTACAGATAGATGGACAGACAGACAGAGAGACAGCTAGACAGACGGATGGACAGACAGAGGACTGAAAACAAGTGATCAGAATAGGTCACTTGGGCTTTCAGGTCAAGTGAGCTAAAAAGCTAAGATACAGAAAGACGTACGGACTGACATGAGTGCCATGCAATAATAAGTTGTCTTAGGATGGGATATAATTATAATTATACTTGTCATAATTAAAATATTACCTCTATTTGTCCATCCCCTGTAAATGGAGCCTTCCTGACAACATACTTCTTCTCCAACTTTATCATCAAACTTCTTCTCCATATTGAGCACCAGAATAAAGAATGCCCGGGGACTCAGAAAAATCTGGTGTGAGGCATAATAGGCACACTGTCCCGCAAAGTCAGTCATGGTAATTTTTTTATCTGGATCTTCTGAAATGTTTTTTACCTCTATCTGCAAATTTCCAGAAATTTCCGAACTATAAGGAATATCTTTGCTTTCCTTTCTTACTTCCACTACATTTTCTGTTGATGTGGCCCCTTGTGGTTCATAGGATGAGGTAGTTTTAATGTTGGTATCATCATGTGATATTCCTCCAATGTTTGATGCTTCAAACTTATTGTCCTCATCATCAACCGGTTCCATCTTTTCCTGCGTTTCCCCAACATCAGCTGCACTCTCTGAATGATACTCAGGAATACTCTGATTTAGGTTTTTTTTATCAAGTCTAAGTTTAAAGTGATGTTGGCTTGAAGAATTAACTGCAAATGGAAATGAATGCCATTTGTTTAACCCCTTCTCTTTTTGTTTTCCCTGTACTTTAAGCAAATAGATTTTTATTCGCTTGTAAATAAGTCTGCAGCTAAAAACATGCATAAATTTTTCTTTAATTTCCACAAAAACAGACCTTTTTATACCCGCACTTTCTAAAGAAAGTTCGGGTATATTGTTGTTACTCGTCTGTCTGTCCGTCTGTCCGTCCGTCCTTCTGTCACACTCTTCTTTCTCAAACTTCTCTAATATTTTATCAAGTATTCTAATCATCTTTTGGGAGATGTTTGGTGGTGTCATGCAGATGTGCAGGAGGGTTTCGGAATTTTCAATTTCAGCCTTGGGGTCAAATGGGGGTCGAAAAATGACGGTTTTTATGCAAAAAGCCCCTGGTTCCCTGAACTCCACTTACATTTTAACCAGAAGTCTAATCATCCTTTGGGAGATATTTGGTGGTGTCATGTAGATGTGCAGTAAGGTTTCGGAATTTTCATTTTCACCCTGGGGGTCAAATGGGTGTCGAAAAATGACGTTTTTTATGCAAAAAGCCCCTGGTTCACTGAACTCCTCTTACATTTTACCCAATAGCCTAAACGTCTTTTGGGAGATGGTTGGTGGTGTCCTGTAGATGTACAGTAAGGTTTCGGAATTTTCATTTTCACCCTTGGGGTCAAATGGGTGTCGAAAAATGACGTTTTTAATGCAAAAAGCCCCTGGTTCACTGAACTCCTCTTACATTTTACCCAGTAGCCTAAACGTCTTTTGGGAGATGGTTGGTGGTGTCCTGTAGATGTACAGTAAGGTTTCGGAATTTTCATTTTTACCCTTGGGTCATATGGGGGTCTAAAAACGTTTCTCATACAACTAGAAATATGTCCATAGTAATGCAACATGAAAATTTGTATTAGTGTATGAAATTTGATGAGAATATCTTGAATAGTTTCTTTAACATTGAAATTTAAAAAGTTGGATATAGATGATAAACTCTCACCAAATTATGTATGAGTGCATAAGCTTACATAAATATATCTAAAATGGTTTCTTAAAAATTAAGCAAAATGCAAATTTAAGAAAAGTGAGGTCAAGGTCATAGGAAAGTTAAAAGTCAAACATTTCTGATGCAGTTGAATAGTTCTCACAAATATGTATCATCATATTAAGTTTGATAAAAATATTTTGAATGGTTTATTTAAAACTGAGCTAAACACAAATTTAAAATAAATGAAGTAAAGGTCATAGGAAAGTTCACGGGCAAAAAATATTGATGCAGTTGAATAGCTTACATCAGTATGTATCAGCATATGAATTTTGACACAAATTTAAGAAAAGTGGGGTCAGGGTCAGAGGAAAGGTCAAGGTAAAAAAATATTGATACAGTTGAATAGCTCTCATTAGTATGTATCAGCACATGAAGTTAGATTAAAATATCTTGAATGATTTCATTAAAACTGAGCTAAACACCAATTTAAGAAAAGTGAAGTCAAGGTCAAAGGAAAGGTCAAGGTCATAAAATGTTGATGCAGTTACATAGCTCTCATCAATATCTATCAGCATATGAAGTTTGATAAAAATATCTTCGATAGTTTCTTTGAAACTGAGCTTTGAACAGAGCTAAATGCAAAGCGTGACTGAAAGACAGACAGAAGGATGAAAGGACGGAAGACGGACATGAGAAACACTATATCCACCGGCCATATTCATATATAAAAACAAGGTAAAAAATGTTGTTTGCATGCACCCTTTCTCCATACTACCTCTTCATGTTCCAAGATTGAAGTTTTAATGTCAAAAGGTTCTTAAGTTATGGTTTGGAGGTGTTTTTCTCAATTTTACCTTGAATAAAGAAAGGAGTCAAGGTCAAAAGTACAGTAAAGCATACTTATAGCGAAACAAGCCTATAATGAATTGACACTTACAGCAAAGCAATTTTCATTCCCCATGACTTTAAAATATATTGTAAACTTAATGGATGTTAGCAATTACACTTAATTATAATAAAGCAAAATCATCCGTCTCAGGCACTTTGTTATAAGCGCGTTTTACTGTACATTCCCATGTTTACAAAACTTTGATCCCCTATTGTGGCCGCACCCTACCCCTGAAGGTCATGATTTGGACAAAGTTGAATCTACACTAAGTATTGAAGTTTCACATAATTTTTAACTTTTCTGGCCCAGTGGTTCTTCAGACGATTTTTGAAATAACATTAAATTTTCACTCATTCTTATCTCCCCTTGAAAGAAGGTTTGGCCCTTCCTTAAAAGAAGGTTTGGCCCTTCATTTGAACAATTGTTATGTTTTACACAAGAAAGAATATTTTGCATGAGAAATAAAACTCTTTGTGTTTCTAAATATCTCATCACACCTCTAGTGTGTTTCTTCTTATCTTAACAAAGATGATGATTTAATTATGACTTCAATTTTGTACAGGCCTTTATTATTATACGATAATTATACCCTGAGGGGTATGTTTACCTGTCTTCAACAAGTCAGGTGATTGTTCACAGTGAGTACTTTTCAAGCATAATTGTCATGACCAAGTTCATTTCTGCATACTGAAAATACTGATCTTGAGCAAATTAATAGGAGTTCCAAGTGAGATTTGTAACAGACCATGTTAAAAGACTTCTGGTTGTGTCCTTTTGTAATTAGAGATATAGATCAAAGACAAGATAAAAGTGAGTAATTTTTTTTTTCTGGGAGGGATAACATTCTTGCTGTAGTATGAATTAGTGTAAAATCCTAAAAAGTCACCAATTAAAAAAAATTGTCTTATAATTCCACTAATTTTGACTCAAGTAGATGTTAAAGAGAGAGAGAGAGAGAGATTACTCCAGGTATACAGCCCCATGCAATATATATATATATATATATATATATATATATATATATATATATATATATATATATATATATATATATATATATATATATATATATATATATATATATATATATATATATATATATATATATATATATATATATATATATATATATATATATATGTATGTATGTATGTATATATATATGTATATATATATATATATATATATATATATATATATATATATATATATATATATATATATATATATATATATATATATATATATATATATATATATATATATCTGTGATAGCAAATTCTCAGGAGACAATTTTTGAAAAGTAATTTTCCTCCATGCATTGTTTTCAGAAAATTCAAAGCTGAAAATTTGAAATTTATACCCATGTCAACATAGTGCAACTTTTATCTATATTGATAAAAATGTACATTGATAAAAAAGTATGATTAAATTAAGCTAAATCAAAGTGTTTTGAATAGCAAAACCAAGGTATACCAGTATAGCTAATTCAACTACAGAGCTTAATCAATTTTAAGAGATTGTGCAAGACCTGTTTTAATTCTTAATCATTCTTAAAATATTTATATCCCCATTCCTGATTCAAGGGAGAGCTAGGCATATGACCAAAAAAGTCCATGATCTATTTATTTAATAAAGACACATGTATGTTGTGAGAAGATCAGTAAATAATGATGACAAGTGGGAAACGGACGGGTTAATAAACACAAATTTTAGGAGTTTTCAACATTTAAGACCATGCAGACGTAACTCCTTCCCCTTTTCCCCCTTCCCAGCCCCAGGCTCATTTATTTATACAAATTATTCATAACTTGTTTTGGTATAAAATAAATTGTGAATAATACAAAAATGTACATGTACACAAAGTATAATGGCGGGTCTCTGAATGATTTTCATTTTCTAATTCTAGGAGGGTGGACTGACCCTATGGAGTCCTGAATAAAATGCAGATTATCAATGACACACTTTTGACACAGGTCATATTGTGATCATTTCCAGTTTCAGGATGAGGATGACTTCAAGGGGCCATAACCTTTATACCGTTTAATGCATAATGACTCGAGGGACAATATTATATATGGTTAAGGGGAGAGTTTTACCATTTTCAAAAAACAATGTATATAATCATTTGAAGTTTTAGGGGTTGGGAATGACCTCTGGGGGGTCATGACCCCATATGTCCTATTTGGTGTGTTATATTACAAAGATGACTTTGGGGCTTTTGCTTTAATGAAAGCTATTTTATTGTTTCCGGTTCCAAAGATCGAGTGGAATGACTTGAGGGACTTGTCTCATTGTCTAATTTGTATAATTGTGGCATTCCAATGATCTTTGACCCTTTTCCAACTATAGGCCCCTAACCATTTTCATTTCCGATCATTTTACCCCGTTCTAGTCGCCCGTGTGGCGCAGTGGTTAGAACGTCTGCTCTAGAGTCGTGGAGTAAGGAGTTGATCCTTAAGTCACGGGTTCGAATCCACTGCGGGCCCTAATTGTCGACGATAGGTTAAAATTTGCGGCCCTCCACCGGCAAGTGGTGGCGTCTCCATATGAGTGAAAAATTCTCGAGAAGGACGTTAAACAACAAACAAACCCCGTTCTATACTAAACGTTTAAAATAATATATTCATAATGTACTTACCGCCTGTTATAGATACTGTTAACTTGATAGAATAATAAATCCATTTGAAACACACACTAAGTATTAATAATCCCAGTGGTAATAATGTACATACACCATGTGCAAAACAATAATGATAACGGTAAAAGTAGTGCTCGCAGTGTGACGTAATTCCACGCACGTGTCTAGAAACTTTCCAAAAATGTGTACATTTGTAAAATTTATTACATACAATTTTTTTTCATAAGTTTGTGTTATCTATTCTAAATATGACAGGAAAACAGGTGAATCGTGGGTGGGGGTTGAATTTTGACAAAGTTGATTGGGTCAAGATTTAGAAAGGGGTTTTCCGAGTCCTACCGAAATACTGATAAATAATTGCACAAGTTGTCATTTTGGCATCTATTTTTTTTTTAAGTTCATCCAAAAAGCTTTGCACTAAAATAATAATATTTGTTGTTTTGACAATAAATTCAAGAAGTTCCAATTATGGGTAGAAAAT